GGCGCGGAGGATGTGAGCGCGGGTGGAGTGTGGGAGGAGGGAGGGACGAGGAGGTGGAATGGGTTGGGCGAAGTGGATACAGAGTCGAGGGGTGGGGAGCGCGAGCGCCCTGGTGACACGGGGGGCAGGGAGGTGATTGGCGCGATGCGACCGTGCTGAGAGCGAGCAAAGCGCTCGGCGCATCTGGACCGCGAGCGACTTGGATTTTGGGAGCCGACTGAGCACGAGGAGAAGATCTTGGCTGAGAGAGAACGATTTTGGGAGAGGAGTGAGGTGAAGATGGATCTATGAGAAGAAGGCAGGACGAGGGGCGAGAGAGGCTGTGCGAAGCCTGGGAAATATCGGGTTGTCGATGGAGAGGACGTGGTGAGAGAGAGGGGGACTGGCGAGGCGGGGCGTGAGGGCTGATGCGTGAGAGTCGCAGACTGAAGGAACGAGGGAACCGGTGGCGGTGGCGCTACTGTGATGGAGCTGACCGGAGTGGCGGGTGGGGAGCATCGGAGCAACGGGGCGAAGTTATGGGCTGGGTGGTTGTCGGGTCGATAGGGGCGGGATCGAGAGGGGTCTAAGGGAGACCACGGCGGCCTTAAGCTGGTTGGCGCGAAAGGGGAGGGAGGATGGTTTGTTTCGGGGGTTTTGGCAGCGGTGTCTGATCCGGCGCGAGAAGACGTCGTTTCCGGCTGATGGACGAGAGTGAATGTGGAATGAGAGAGGATGAGGCGCACGGAGGCCAGCGCGTGAGCACGGGGCGTGGTGGGCTGATAGTGATGGGATGCGGGTGGGGGCGGACCCGACGGGCGGGGAGGCGAGAGGATTGGAGGTGAGCTAGCGGTAGGGGGAGATTGAGAAAGGAAGAGTTCGTAGGGGAACTTAGGGGGGCGAGGACGGAGGGAGGTGACTGGTACGAATCGGGCGGGGGGAGGTCGCGAGCAGCGGAACAGGGAGGCGTGGACTTGAGATACTTTGGAGCGCGAGCACGAAGTGGCATGTGGAGTGCGCGGATTTGCGGCGAGACTAGGGGGGTGGGATGCCGAAGGCGGGTAGCTTATAGAGGGGCGCTGCGAAGAATGAGACGGAGGAGGACTGCGGCTTGTATAGCTTATGACGAGGAGAGAGGATTAGACCAGGTGGGATGATATTGGAGAGAGGTTGACGCGGGACGATGCGAAGGAAAGGGCAGGCGGAGAAGGCGCCGCGACGGTGAGCGAGTGAAGCGGTCGTGGTGCGCGCGCGGTAGGTAGTCCGAGGGAGACGCTCTGAATTGAAGAAATTGCGGTGAGGAGGGAGCGGGGGGACGGAGCATGAGACGAGGTTTGGAGATGGCGCGGACGGAGGCGGAGAGAGAGGTGAGAGAGAGAGCATGAGGGAGGGAGGGTGGAGGGAGGGATGGGGATCCGGAGGGAGGGAGGGCTTGGAGGAGCTGCCACGGGGGAGATCGGGAGGGAGCAATGAGGGAGGGAGCGGCGGACTGTTGACGGAAAGAGTGGTCCGAGCGAGCGGGAAAGCGGAGAGGCCTTCGGACGAGAGAGGAGGATGATGGTGGGGGAGAGACGGGGTAGTGACGAAAGAGGGAGTGAACGAGGCAGACCGGGTGAGAGCGTGGGGGCCTGTGACGAGAGCTGAGAGCGGCGAGTCCTGCGGCTGAGATCGCGGGCGATCCCGTCGGGGCGCGCTCGTCTGAAGTAGCGTGGGACCTAGAGCGGATGGGATGTCGGACGAGATGCGACGGGCGGCAGGTACGGGGTGGGAGGGGATCGCGAGGGTGCTGGACGGCGGGCACGGACGATGGTGACCGCGCGGAGGCGAGGGTCGAGACAGCCTGGATTGATAGGGCGGGCGAAGTGCGCTTCATGGGGGTTGAGGGGTGGGAGCCGCGGCGCCGGGACGCGGGAGCCCGCAGTGAGAGATTATGGGGGAGCTCGGGGAATACCGCAGCGGGTCGGCGGCGGAGAGGCGGGAAGGAAGCCCCGTTGGCTTAGCGGGGAGGCGAGCCGGCAAAGCTATGGGCCGTGAGTTCGGTGCTGACCCGATGGGGAGTGAACCGGCAGCGGAGGAGAGTACGTGTGCTTGAATACGGGCGATCATGCGAGGTCATGTTGCCGACCGAGAGCGAGAGGGAGACGGAGAGGTCCGAGATGAGGGGAGAGAAGAGACTTTCTTGAGGAGGTTAGGAGTCGGCGGCTGGGGTTGGCGGCGGAGAGGATGATCCCCGTCCGACGCGGAGGTTGAGGATAGCTCGGGGGGAGTGGGCGAGCGAGCGGCGGATCCTTACGGTGCCTCGAGCGGGATTAGGTCCGAAGTCGCAGAGAGGATGAGGGAGGTTGCTGGACGGCGAGCGGCGTGAGACGAGGGAAGCTGCGGTGTGAGGGGCGAGAGGCGAGAGCAGGGCGAGACGAGCCAGTGTGACAGGAGGAGAGTGATGATGAAGAGAGGAGTGAGAGGCGTGATGTGGGTTGAGGGAGAGGGCGGAGAGCATGGGAGAGGGGCGATGAGAGCTGAGGAGGCAGGGAGTGGGCGACCATTAATTGCGCCGGCGAGGGGAAGGGCGGGAGAGGGGAGAGGAGGAGCTCTGAGAGGGACTTTTAATTGATTCTCCCCATAGGAGACAGCCAAAATTTCAGTGATTGTAGTTCCATCATCCCTCATTTAGACGTTTAACTACCATATCTTGATGCGCTGGCTGTACGAGTATTTTACCAGCAAAAAAAAACCCCACTATCCTACTCCACCCAAACCAACACCAAACTACAACTTGATCAATATTTCTAAAAAAAAAGGCTGGCCCTATAGTTAATAATTAATAACGATAACATGCACTTTTTAATTTGTTTTTGTAACTTTTTGTTTTCTGTTTATGTTTTTGGTCAACGGAGCGTCCAAAAATAGTTGCTGCTTCGTCTTCTTAAAATAAGGAACAATATAAACCTTAAATATTTACCTGTCAATAAGCTTCAATAATATTTCAACTTCTAAGGAAAATACATTTTTAGGGGAAACCCGTAAAAAAAAGAAAAAAAATAAAAAAAAAAAAAAAAGCCAAACAAACCAAAACAAAAAAAAAAAAAAAAAACAAAAAGGCAAAAAAAAAAAGAAAAAAAAAAAAAAAAAAAAAAAAAAAAAAACAAAAAAAAAGGTTAAAAAAAAAAAAGAAAAAAAAAAAAAAAATAGAAGAAAAGAAAAAAAAAAAAAAAACAAAAAAAAAAAAAAAAAAAAAGAAAAAAGGAAAAAAAAAAAAAAGAAAAAAAAAGGTAATTGTGAGGAAATATGAAAGAATGTATATTGTTATTACACCAATGTATATCTCAGTACTACAACACCATTTCACGATTACAGAATTACTACTTATTTGCCACCAGAAGGCAGTGTGTTGCTTGACTTCAACTGCTGGGTTCAACTTAATGAATTATTACTGTAAGAGTAATATCACACACTCAGTTCCGTCCTGATTATGGCGTAAAAGTTAAAGTGAAAAACAGAAATAACAAGCGATAACTAATAGCGACAGCAAATTGTCTTTCGCTATCAAATAACATGGGTTTCTAGTAAAAAACAAGTGATAAGAGTGAAAAATTACTATAGCCGAAACATCCCCGCAGTGTGTTATGAATCATAATCATGTGACGAACCTTGTCCATCATTGCAAATATACGGTCCACACGTTTCTCTGGAGTGTTTTCTTCTTCAGGGAGCTCCACAGTGTTCCCCTAACACATAAGACTGTTAATATTTACACATATTTAAAGGAGCCTTATGCAACTTTCTACATCAAAAAAGTTGCTAATCTTTTTCATAATTGACCTTGCAGTCCCTAAGCAGTATGTTTCCGTTATGGTTGTGTTGACAGTCCTCCAGGATCAAATGTTGTGTATGTTTTCTGGTGTGGGGGTCTGTCAGCAGAGAATACCTTCCAAGCAATTGATCTTTGAGCATCCTAGAGACCACTGATGGAAAGTAAATAAGTCACTTTATGTCACTTGCATTAGGACTGAAAAACCTGCACTACTATAGCCACTGTTTCTTTGAATTGCCACTTTTTATTGAACATAATATATCCTGCATTTAACACAATCTTGAGTGTTTTCTCTCAGTGGGGGCGGGTCCCGGCTCAAAAGTGGCCAAAATGACGTGCGCTGACATGCTTGCAATACCACCCCGGGCCGATGAGGGTGGACCTGGAATAAGAATTAGCCAATGCTAATATATAGCATCTTCTTACCTCTCAAAAACACTTTTACAGGATGGTCCAAAAGTTGGCTATTGGCCCAAAGCTCCGTTCCACATTTGTGTCAATGCTGAGGGGAGTGAATTTTTTTGGACCACTCTAGTTTACTCGCTGTGAATTTTTGAAGTCAAATTAATGGAGCTTGTGCCGGCTGACGCATGCGCAGATGGGTTTTTTCACATTTTCCAGCCCCCGCGGCCATTTTGAATCACTCCATGAGAGCCCAATTTCTGGCCCATTAGTTAGAACAATGGAGATAGGCGTGACTGAGTCCGTTTAATATATACAGTCTATGGCTTTTCTCCATGCCAGATGTGACATGTACATTTCTCCTGTGTGAGATCAATAAAGTCTATCTTATCTCATCTTATCTTATCATGCTGACCTAGATCACTACAATGTCAAATATATAAAAAGATCAACTTTTTTCAAATAAAAAGTTGCTTAAGGCCCGTTAACATTTACCATGATAAAAACTTACCACCATCTGATATATGGCATCCACAATGTTTAACATCTCATCTCGGGTGATGTAGCCGTCATTATCGAGATCATATAGCTTAAAAGCCCCTGTGCCGAGGAGGAAAGTACTTTTTACTCATTTATTACACAAACTGATACAAGTCTTATTCACGTTCAGCCTGAGACACATTGGCACCCCTCAGCTTTTAACACCAACTATGCCCCTGCTGTTTAATATTATATTCTATATTGTACATGTATTTGTATTTTTACATATTTTGTGCATGTGATACACTTTGGGGAGCTGGCCTTTAGTAAATATGCTATACAAGTGTCATAAAACATAGGGATTGCAGGAAATATATGCAATGTAATGTAGATGTATCATTTTATAATAATTTGTTCTTCTTTTTTTTTTGTTCCATGATAAATGTGCCTTCTTCTACAACTTCAACAAAGTATTTCAATACTGATGATTGGAGAGAGACGATAGGTGTACAAACCTATGCAGTCATTATAATTTGGACTCAGAGCTCACGTGTCCTAATGATCTCAGCGCCGCAAATGGCGAAGTGGCACGCTCTCTGCCAAAACAATTTCCAAGTGGTAACTTTTGTTTGTTACTTACGTGGCAATAAAAATGATTCTGATTCTGATTGTGAGTTATTTATTATTTCGTTTTCAAGTTTGTGCGAACATGTCCTCTTACATCTCAGCTTCTCATCCAGGGTCCCTCGAGACGTCACAGACAAGGCTTGGATGAACTCCGAAAATTCGATACGTCCATCCTGGTGTGACAGAAAGAAATCCACACATTGTTTAATTGACACACAGTTATATCTAGGAAAAAACTTCCTCAAGATTTTTATTCTATTCATGCTAAAACAAGGCCAGCTTCCACGCAGCTATTTTTGCACTGCAGCTGCTTCTTTCCAGAGGCAAGATTCAGTGTGTCACCTGTGGTCATTAGTAAGATGGAAGCAACTGGATCTAAAAAGTGTCTGCAATATCAACATGGATATGCTTGACATATTTCCACTGCAAATTATGACCGTGTATAAGAAAGCTCAGTATAAACTCTTTGTGTCAGGTGCCCTTTTTATTCATATTATTTCTTAATTACATGTTTGGCCATAGTTCATTTATTGTTCAGGTTAAAGCACGGGTACCTAACTTTAAAACCAAATCATTCGACCAGTCTCCTCTCAGCCCAAATAGTCCCATAGTCACTTGCAGGGCTTTTTCTTACAAGTATACAAAATAATAACATGTAGTAACACAATAAGATAAAGACATTTTGTTGTGATCCAATCAGTTCACAAAAACATTATTTATACTGTAGGGATTTTTATATATGTTTTAGGGAGCAACCTCTGTACTGTTCCAATCCTATATCTCTTGAAGCTTTCACTTTTTTCCCAAGACGGATCCGATAATCCCTACATCATACGCTACAGGTCAAAAAGCAGTTAAACTAAGGTGTATTTAAATGACTTACAGGGGCCCCTATGTCTAATGAGGGCCATAAATTAACATCACCGTGAAGCTCCACAGAAAAGCCACTCCACTTAAGTCAATGCACCTCCAGGGGCCACGCACATCCCAGTCTTTCAACTCAATTCAATTAGCCTGGGTCACAATGGGGTTAGGCGATTATGATGCTGATTTACACTGCTCTATTATGAACTACAATACCCCGAGGAGAATACAAATATGTTACATTATTTACGGTGATGTTAAGGACTCACCCTTGCCTTTATCTTGAAAAATATGAATATATTATAATACTGTATAAATGTGTAGATTACCAGACTTTGATTCATCTAATTATAAGTAAGTTGCAAAAATGTTGGATCTCTGCATGGAATGGCTGCTGCAGTACACATATACAATGCAGATTTCTGTCATACTGATATTACTGTTCAGATAGTGGGGAAATGTGTGACTACTTGAATCCTTAATCAATCAATGAATCAATTGTAAAGATAAAATAGCACATGACGAACCTTATTTTCATCAAATACATTAAAGACAAATGAGGCAAATTTTGTGGGGTCTCCAAATGGGAAGAACTGCTTGTAAATCTTCTGAAACCCAACAGCATCCAGCTGACCACTCGGACAATCTTTGATGAAGCCTTTGTACCTGAAAAATGCAAGAGTATAATCTAAATAACCAATACCTCTGCAATTTTGGAAAAACATCAGGAAATTCTGTGGTGTCAGAAAAGTTCTGTGATGGTTGATTTTCAAGTCAAAGTAATAAGTTCAGATGTATCACTTGAAAATGAAAAATCACTCAAGTTTTGTTATTACTTTTATTTATGAAAAAGGAACTATGTCATAAAAGATTTGCGATTTGAAAAAATGCTGATGTATCTTCCACGCCGACACTCAAACAATTACATTAGACATTTTGTCATTTTAGCACTTCCCAGTATGTTCATTTAAACTTGCCTTGCCCTGTGTCAAAGCAATGAAAGTTGGAAATAAATTGATGTTTATGCTGTGCTAATAACGTCCTCTGGAAACTGAGATGCCAGCTGTTCTTTGCTCTTTACAATATTTACCAGAGGAAAGCACTGGTTGCTTTTCTCAAATGCTAAACTGTGCAAGGCTATTTGAGAACCTATATATAAAACATTTTCACAAGCCAACGTCAATTAAACAATAATCTCTGCTTTCTTCAGTTGTGCCAATGTGTTGCTCTAATAATGAGAAGTGACTAAGCGACGCTATTTATAGGAATGTTCTGTCTAAGAGCTCAAATCTGCAGGATAAAAGCAAAAGCAGCTGATGTTGGTGCCTCTCCTCACAGCAGGAGAGGCACAAGTGCTGCTTTTGAGTTCCACTGTTGTTTTTCTTTTCTGACTTGGCAGTGTTAAAAGGCATCGGAAAACAATCCAAATGTATAGCATACAAGTTATGCTGTATTATTATTTTCACAGCAGAATCAACATTTTTATTGAGTATTGAGTTTATTTATAAGAATAAAAATCGAGTTTGAAATGTGAGTATCGTACAACAGAGAGTAGGGCACACCCGATTGGAAAAGATTCAAATCCGAATATTTTTACTTTGAACTAGAAAATTATGAGAATAATCTCAAAATAATATGAGAATAAACACAAAATAATCTTTTAACATTCACAGTATATGAAAACATTAAACCATGTTAAGCTTCGGTGAACTCTGGACAAAGTGTCTCTCTGTTCCTTTAGCTGCTTTGGACGATGAAGCTCCATTGTCTACATTATGCACCGGCTGTGATTTTCTCTGACTACTATCTGAGAATAGTTTGAGAATAAACTCAACATATTTTAAGTTTATCCTCATAATATTTTGTGTTTATTCTCATAATACATCTGAATTAATCTCTTACGCTATGATTAAAGTCAGAATATTTTGGCAAAAGAAAATCAGATGAGCCCTATGCTCTGCCGTAGTATCCAGACAAGAAAGATATAGATAAATACACATTTGAGACACACACTTGTCTCCGTACTATAGAGATGTTCTTGCTTTGCCTTGAACACAGTATGGGATTCCATTATCTATCTCCCTGGAGTCCAAGAGAGGTCAGCCAATTCACAGTAATAATGTGTGTCTTTTTTCTTGTGGCTAAAGACTCTGTAAATGAACAAATGTAGGATAACAGGAATCCCTGCCGAAATCCCTATGAGAAAATGTATTTTCATATAATACATTCACGCTACTAGAATTTCCCCATGTGAGATGAATAAAGTATGTATCTGTGTCCATCTAAAATGCATCGCAGAGTCCTTGCGGAAATCTAGATGCAAACTAAAAGTAAACACAAGTAAAAAAACATGTTTTGGAGTTACCGGCTGATCATAGCCTCATCACAAAACCCTCACAAGTCTGTGCAAAACACACAAACTGTACTTGAAAGTGTGTAACAATGGCCAGCAGGGACAGCGCAGACATGACATTGTGTATCAGGCCACAGCAGGTGCCAGGATGAAGATAAAGTATTTATTACTGGCACTCTCGCCATTACTTTGGCAAGGACCCTGGTGGTTGGCCAAGAAGTTGTTGCGGGACTTGTCTCCTCCTTTGCTGGCAGGGACATCACTGCGCTATGGCATTTTGTTATTGATTTCAGATACGCTTCAAGCATACTAATGATGTTCTTGAGCAGGGAATTAGAAACAAGAACAAATTTAACGCACAACATAGGCATTTATCTACCCCTTATAATTCTTCTGTGTGTGTGTGTCTGGGCTCTAATTACACGCCATCTGGCATTTCCCCTGGTAAAAGTCCCTCTCTTTCCTCTCACTCCGTCGTGTTGGTTTCTGTTGATCTTCAAGTGTGTGGACACGAGACTAAACATGGATGTTATAATGGGCTGCAGTGTCTATACTACTGCACAGGCATCAATCCAGTATCCTAGCTCTGTACCTGACAAACACATAGTGATCTCTCATGTTTCCATAGATGAGTGGCCTGGCTGAACAAAAGCGCACTACATCTATGCTTGGCACCACTCTTTTCATGCATAAAGGATATGTTTGTGAAATGCAAAACCAGAGCGAGGAGAACATGCAACAGTGATCACTTTATTGCAGTTGCCCCTCTCATCTGCTACTCTCAACAAAGCACAGCAGCTTTTGATACTAAAAATGAAGGCTTTTTGATCTTTATACCATAAATAATTATGTCAATTTGTATGAGTCACTGACATTTATCGACTGGCGCACAGAAGGAGCAGTAGGAGATTTGCTAAAATGTTGTGATAGCTGGGAGGGTCACACTGGGTTTGCGTGTCACTGGAAAACTGTTTTTCAAATATTACTTAAAGGTCTGCTCCCCCCTGGACTGCCACCTTAACGTGGTGGGGGAGTTTGAGTACTCGGATGATCCTGGGAGCTATGCTGTCTGGGGCTTCATGCCCCTGGTAGGGCCTCCCATGGCAGACAGGTCTCAGGTGACGAGTCAGACAAAGAGCAGTCCAGAAGACACCATGGACAGCACTAACACAAAAACAGTGACGTTGCCCGGCATGGCGCAGCCGGGGCCCCACCCTGGAGCCAGGCCTGGGGTTGGGGCCCGTATGCGAGCGCCTGGTGGCCGGGCCTTAGCCCACGGGGCCCGGCCGGGCTCAGCCCGAAGGGATGACGTGGGCAGTCCCTCCTGTGGGCCCACCACCTGCAGAGGGGTCCGTGGTGAAGCGGTGCAGAGAGGACTGGGCGGCAGTCGAAGGCGGAGACCTCGGCGACCCAGTCCGCACACACAACATCTGGCTCTTGGGACGTGGAACGTCACCTCACTGGGGGGGAAGGAGCCCGAGCTCGTGGGGGAGGTTGAGCGATACCGACTAGAGATAGTCGGCCTCACCTCCACACACAGCTTGGGCTCTGGAACCCAACTCCTTGAGAGGGGTTGGACGCTCCACTTTTCTGGAGTTCCCCGCGGGGAGAGGCGGCGAGCTGGGGTGGCCATTCTCATTGCCCCCCATCTCAGCCGCCACGTGTTGGAGTTCTCCCCGGTGAATGAGAGGGTCGCGTCCCTCCGCCTCCGGGTGGGGGACAAGTCTCTCATTGTTGTGACGGCCTACGGGCCTAACAGCAGTGTAGAGTACCCAGCCTTCTTGGAGTCCTTGGGAGGGGTACTGGACGGTGCACCGCCCGGGGACTCCGTTATTCTCCTGGGGGACTTCAACGCCCATGTGGGAAACGCCAGTGACACTTGGAGAGGGGTGATCGGGAAGAACGGCCCCCCTGATCTGAACCCGAGCGGTGCTCAGTTGTTGGACTTCTGTGCCAGTCACGGTTTGTCCATCACGAACACCATGTTCGAGCACAAGGGTGTCCACCAGTGCACGTGGCACCAGGACACCCTAGGCCGGAGGTCGATGATCGACTTTGTTGTCGTATCATCTGACCTTCGACCGCGTGTCTCGGACACTCGGGTAAAGAGAGAGCGGAGCTGTCAACCGATCATCACCTGGTCGTGAGTTGGATCCGCTGGCAGGGGAAGAAGCCGGTCAGACCTGGCAGACCCAAGCGTATAGTGAGGGTCTGCTGGGAACGTCTCGCTGAGCCCCCTGTCAGACGGACTTTCAACTCACACCTCCGGGAGAGTTTCTCCCAGGTCCCGGCGGAGGAGGGGGACATGGAGTCCGAGTGGACCATGTTCTCTGCCTCAATCGCCTATGCGGCGGCTCGTAGCTGTGGTCGCAAGGTCTCTGGTGCTGGCCCCGGCGGCAACCCCCGAACCCGGTGGTGGACACCGGCAGTAAGGGATGCTGTCAGGCTGAAGAAGGAGTCCTATCGAGCCATGATGGTTCGGGGGACTCCTGAGGCAGCTGTCCAGTACCGGCAGGCCAAGCGTGCCGCGGCCCGGGCTGTTGCAGAGGCAAAAACCCGGGACTGGGAGGAGTTCGGAGAGTCCATGGAGCATGACTATCGGTCGGCCTCGAAGAGATTCTGGCAAACCATCCGGCGCCTCAGGAGGGGGAAGCAGTTCTTTGCCAACGCCATGTACGGTGCGGGTGGAGGGCTGCTGACCTCGACTGGGGATATTGTCGGGCGGTGGAAGGAATACTTTGAGGTTCTCCTCAATCCCCCCGTCACGTCCTCTGTTACAGAGGCAGAGGCTGAGGATGTTGGGGCGGGTACATCCATCTCCCTGGCTGAGGTCACCAAGGTGGTTGGTAGCCTCCATGGTGGCAAGGCTCCGGGTGTGGATGAGATCCGCCCTGATTATCTAAAGTCTCTGGATGTTGTAGGACTGTCTTGGCTGACACGTCTCTGCAACATCGCGTGACGATCGGGGGCAGTGCCAATGGAGTGGCAGACCGGGGTGGTGGTCCCTCTCTACAAGAAGGGGGACCGGAGGGTGTGTTCCAATTATCGTGGGATCACACTCCTCAGCCTCCCCGGTAAGGTCTACTCCAAGGTACTGGAGAGGAGGTTACGGCCGATGGTCGAATCTCGGATCCAGGAGGAGCAGTGTGGTTTTCGTCCCGGTCGCGGAACACTGGACCAGCTCTATACTCTCCATCGGATACTCGAGGGTTCATGAGAGTTCGCCCAACCTGTCCACATGTGCTTTGTGGATTTGGAGAAGGCGTTCGACTGTGTTCCCCGGGGTGTCCTTTGGGGGGTTCTCCGGGAGTACGGGGTCGGAGGTCCTCTGCTGAGGGCCATCCGATCCCTGTATGACCGGAGCCAGAGCTGTGTTCGCATTGCCGGCAGTAAGTCAGACCTGTTCCCGGTGAATGTTGGCCTCCGACAGGGCTGCCCTTTGTCACCGGTTCTGTTCACTGTATTTATGGACAGAATATCTAGGCGCAGCCAGGGGTCGGAGGGGGTCCGGTTCGGAGACCACAGGATTTCATCTCTGCTGTTTGCGGACGATGTTGTCCTGTTGGCTCCAACGAACCAGGACCTGCAGCATGCACTGGGACGGTTTGCAGCCGAGTGTGAAGCGGCTGGGATGAGAATCAGCACCTCCAAATCCGAGGCCATGGTGCTCGACCGGAAAAAGGTGCCTTGCCCTCTGCAGGTGGGTGGAGAGGTCCTTCCTCAAGTGGAGGAGTTCAAGTATCTCGGGGTCTTGTTCACGAGTGAGGGAAGAATGGAGCGTGAGATTGACAGGCGGATCGGTGCAGCGTGCGCAGTTATGCGGTCGCTGTATCGGACCGTTGTGGTGAAGAGGGAGCTGAGCCGAAAGGCAAAGCTCTCGATTTACCGGTCAATCTTCGTTCCCTCCCTCACCTATGGTCATGAGCTTTGGGTAATGACCGAAAGAACGAGATCGCGGATACAAGCGGTCGAAATGAGCTTCCTCCGCAGAGTGGCTGGGCGCTCCCTTAGAGATAGGGTGAGGAGCTCAGTCACACGGGAGGAGCTCGGAGTAGAACCGCTGCTTCTCCACGTCGAGAGGAACCAGTTGAGGTGGCTCGGGCATCTGTTCCGGATGCCTCCTGGACGCCTCCCTGGGGAGGTGTTCCGGGCACGTCCCACCGGGAGGAGGCCCCGCGGAAGACCCAGGACACGCTGGAGGGACTATGTCTCTCAGCTGGCCTGGGAACGCCTTGGGGTCCCCCCGGACGAGCTGGAGGAAGTGTGTGTGGATAGGGAAGTCTGGGCGTCTCTGCTTAGACTGCTGCCCCCGCGACCCGGCAACGGATAAAGCGGAAGAAAATGGATGGATGGATGGATGGACTTAAAGGTCTGTGAATGCAACTTGAAAACGCCTAAGTGCTAAGCAGCTCAAAGTCACTCTATTTTTAGACTGCATCATTCTCAATGGCGTGGAAACAGTGTGTAGCATCAGTCGTTCACACACGCTCTGTGCTTTTTCAATTCATTTATTATTTAGATGCCAATATTGCATCCCTATTACAATAATTAAGTTTACTATAGACATCATACCAAATGATCACAAACATTTACTTACCATTGTTGTACTTCTTTCTCTGTGACTGTAGGGAAATAGAAAAAACAAAACTTCAATTAATCAATCACCTCAAGATAAAACATGAATCCTCACTAGGGTTGTGAGGATTGTTAGGTGAATCAATAATTGTACTTATTCAGGTCATAAAATAATCGTATCAACTGAAAACTAGTGATCATGATAATTGTCGAAGAAAAGACATTGCAAACACATTTGCTGTTTAATCCATTGTTCTTTGTCGCTAGAACCAGGAGGTGGACTCTCATTAAGAGAAAAATTGTGTTCTGTGCTCAAATCGTCTGCATTCCAGCAATCATGAACTATGTTAGACAAAGCTTCTTCAAAAACTGACATTTTTACTGTTTACTTTGGTCAATAAATCACTAATATTTGTTAATATTGTTTTTTTTTTACTTTCACAGCAGTGAAGGAATGAGGAAGTTAAAGTAAAATAATCTTTTTCAAGTTTCATGCAATGAAAGGTGCAGAATCTGAATGCTAGCTCTCACACTTCAGCAGAACTAACAGCCCCCCCCCCCCCCGAGGGAAAATGCTGTTATTTACTTTATCTAAAGTGTTCTGAGCCATCTTCAGGGCGTCAGGGGCCCGATACTGAGGAAACACGGATCCAGAATGCAACATGTTTAGCTAGTAGGTCCTCAAAGGTATATTTTTCTAATCACACAAAAACAAAAAGTATATTTTGTGACTACCAATGCATATATGGTTAATGAAAAACTTTGAGGCAAAGTGTTTCATGGTAATTGATTATTTGGATGTTAATGTTTAGCTAGCTGTGACTATGTTGGTATAAACACAACATACCTGTGTCTCTAACCACCAGGGGGAGACGGAAATCTTACTTTTCACATATTCAATAATAAGAATGTGAAGTTACAAGAATGACCACAAAAAACATAGGCACAGTTCAACGGTGCAATCATTTCTGAGGCAGGAGAGTTGTCTGTCCTTTGAAAGTTTCAACCTTACACTGCTCTATGCTCCCAAATCATGCAACACAGTCTGGGTAAATGTCAGGGTCATTCTGATGGCAGTGACCCAGACCTGTCACCAACAACTTATCCTCAAACGACACAGCAGGGTAAAACTCAGGCTATTCACAACAATACAATATATATTGTTTGGTCATGGGCAGGGGGTTATAATGCTTCTTGCATGACACGAGAGGCCCAGGCAGGTCATAGCTTTGTTTGCTAAGAAATATTTAACTTATAACAAATACGAGAATTCCTTATGTTGTTAATATAGTGTATTTCATCACAATAGACAACATGACAGACTATACCAGATTAACAGTGTGGTGGAGGGCAGCTGAAGAAATATAGAAGGTAACAATGTGAAGCGTCAAAATCTGAGTTTACAGCTAAATCAATCCTGAGTCAATCCACATGAGCCACAAACTGTCACTAAGTTCCACATATTCTTAGTCAGCAAATATCAATTATGGTCTAATTATTTTCTATGTAGTGCCTTGAAGTGACGACAATATTAGAAAAAAACAATAGACATGTGGGCCAGTTGAAAAGAAAGAAGGGCTTGTGAGTCCAATCACAATAGGAAAACCATTGGACATCTTATCATCTTCTTATTTCTTTCACAATTCCAACTCCAACTGAAATAGAATTCTATAACATAAATGAAACCTATTGGTCAATCTTCTTACCAGTATAAAACATTTTCACCTTTTAATTGTGCCAAGATGTACACATTTTAATCATAATCTTGAGACACGCCGATCCATGCTAGATTAAAATATGCCACAGATGTGATGAGAAAGGGTAACAAGCAATAGGCATTTCATTATTGATTTCAAGTATTGACAATTACACAGACATGCCGCACCCTTTGTTCTTGCTTAGGTAAATGATAGTAGCTGTAGTTTTAGGAAGAAAGATGCTGTCTGCTGTCTTGTTATGTGTATGTCACAAAAGATAAACAACAATCTAAAATAGACGCTAAGACAGACAGAGAGAAATTCATTATGTTCCCAATCTGTCAAGAAGAAAGAGGCGAAGGAGACGGCAGACAATGCTTCTCACGGGAGGGCAGAAGAGCGCCGCAGACGGATGAAGGGACCAGAGTCTACAAACATGGGAGAGTAAGCATGAGAGACTAGAAGGCCCTCTCAGCGATGTTAACCAGATAAGATCCTAATTACACTATTCCATTCCTCGCTGAAAGAGGGCAATTAGAGGATAAAGTGAAAGAGAGGGAGGCAGGGTAAAGGGTAAGAGAGCAGTGAAGTGAGAGAAGGAGGAATGGAAATAGTGAGGACGACAGCATGGAGCAGCCCTGCCCAGCACGACGCCCAATCTTCCTCCACAGCAATTTCCTGCCACAAGAGCCAGCCTGGGTTCTGCTGCCGAGAAAGCCCCCATACAAATAACACCGCCATTAAGCAGCCTATTGAAAGCAACTCCCACCCACACCTGCACTGCTTCAATAATAGCAATAATTTTGAGGTCCAGGAAAAAACGAACCAATTTGTACAGCATCTTAAAAGGAATGGTTTTGTTGATTTTGGTGTAACTTGAGAGACATGATCCAAATCTGATCTTTTAACAATGTAACAATGTTGGTTCCTCATAAAAACAGACCAATTTTTTTGTATCCATCTACGGTAATGTCATGAATTTCTGGCACACAGATGTAACTCTGCGCTTTCTGTCTAAAAGCTCCTGCCTCAGTTTTGTAATAGTATGATGTAATTGCACCACTCAGAGTTGTGTTCTGGCTTTAAAACAATATGCTCATGAATTATTTTTGCCATCTCTTTACTGTCAGATGGATGTGTTTGTTGCCGGTAACTTTCAAATTCCTGGCTCCCTCTGCTGGTTGGGCAAAGCTATAGCATTGTTCTCCCCGATACTTATTTCAAAATGTTTACTGAAGATAATATTTCACATTCTAATTCATGAAATGGCAACATATGTGTGTGTGCGTGTGTGTGTGTGTGTGTGATATACTTACAATATGTCTTTCTTGTCAGCTCCTCCACAACCTCTGGCTTCAACTTGCTGTTTGATTTGCCCATCTTCGCAGATTCTCCAAAAATCCAGCTTGGCTCAGCGCTCACCACCTTCTACCTCCTTGTGTATGCGTCCCTCCGCTGCCATCAACATAGAGCAGTTTGGATTCAGAAATGATGACAGTAATGGACACAAAATAATTACCCTTTTAGCTTGGAGAGAAGATAATAATACAGATTCAGACTTTATCTATCCCACCAGGGGAATTTAATTCGTAAGTGGAGCCCAAACAAACTAAAGAACACAGCAATACAATAATACAAGCTCAAACACACACTAAGGTCCGTTTTACCAACGAGCAAAAGATTTTAAGTGACGTTTAACAATGTGGTGAAACATAACGTCTCCCTGACAGAAGCAAAGTGAGCTCATTAATGTCATAGGAGCTACATGTGGCTGATGTGAAGATGTTGGAATGATGGTTGATTCAGGCCTGGCTCTCCAGACAGACAACCCCAGGGGCTGTGTGAAGAGGCACTGGCAGGCTGTTGAGCCCTAAGTGCCTACACAGTCGCCTCATTTCTTCAGAGCACTCCGTGGGTGAAAGAGGCGTTTCGATGCGTTGCTACCTTCGTCCTTAGATACAAGAGTCACTGGGTGGCTGGGTTAAGCACTCACCCCCTCACACTAATTCTCTCTGTTCTCACACTCCTCCGGCCCCTCCTTTTCCCACCACGATGGCTCTTGCTTTGGGCAATTCACTGGAGAATAAGAATCTCTCATCTTTTGACAGTTCTGATAAGGACATGAGAGGACCCACAAAACCAAGGAACACCAGTCTCACGGTGTGGCATTCATCAAGCGGAGTGAAAGCGATCTACTAAGCAGTGGTATTTATATATTGATTAATCATAACAGCTAAAATAGATCCTCCATCCTCCTATTTATGCAATTCCAAAAATATGTTACACCAAAAAACTCCCAAGTAGAAAATCTAGAGGGCAGCACTTTAAAAGAGATATGGCTCTGAAAATAACCATGCAAGCTGTCTCCAAAGTATATAAAGCCACATTTGACGAGTGACATTTTATGTTTTTCTGTTGTGGTTTTTTTCTACATCTCCATTCTGACTCACACTTCTCCCTGTGTCAAGCCTTCCACATAGCAGGGTGGTATGATCAGCTCTTTCTGTAATAAATATGGTTAATTTCATGATGATGCATCCATGTCTAAGGTACATATTACCTTTAGTGGTGACATCTGCTCTCTGCACCCACCGATGATCTTCTCATGAGTGCCACGCTGGTAATCACCATCTTGGGTTCTCTGGAGCGTTCCTTTCCTGGATATTATTGAGACACTGGGGGGAAACAAACAAACAATCATCATTTACAAAAAAGAGGCAAACACGTGATGTGCCTTAGTAGAAATGGGCTGTGCTTTTACTTAGAGCCACAGACAAATTAAACCGCTTAACTGGAACAAATACTTAAAAGACGAGTCGAGTCAGCGACCTTTCAGCTGCTCCATGTGGCCAGCGGGGAACGGGATGTGGCATAAGACAGGCATAAGCTTCAACTTGTGTAAATAAGCGCAGCCTTTGGCCCCATACTAGTCATAATGACGTTATTCTTTGTGCCATAAAGAAACAAAGTAGTTAACACAACTGTCAGCGCAATGAATGAAACTTTGTTCATGAAGGAAGAGCAGCTTTTCTTGTCTTGTAATCCTTAAGAGAGTTCAGGCGGTGGGAAAGGCAAGTTTACTGTGACGGAGGCACAGGTGGGATGTTGGCTGCTACTGTCATAGCAACATACAGTTTACACCACAGTCCACTGCCACCAGCAAAGTGCTCTCATGATTATTGTCCACAGGCAAGATGCACATGCTATTTCCCGAAGATTCCCACACGCGAACAAGACAGAAGATATGTGGGTGAAAGAAAAGCATGAAGCAGATGCATTTACCTGGAGTGCAGAAGCGGAAGCTCCTCAGTCCCACAGTGTTGTGTTTCTAGTGAGGCTCGTGCAGCTCTGCTCCGGTGACGTCTGCGCTGTCCGCGCGCTCCGCACCAGCGCCACGCGCACCACGCGGCTGCGCGGCGGACAAAGCCTTTCATTTGAACGCATATATTATTGACTTTTGTGTTGAAGCCTTTAGTTAATTATGAACATTTTATCATAAAAACTTTAACTCTTAACATATTGGTGTTTTTTTACACCAATATGTTATATACCGAATCATTGTCATTCATTTCTATTTCAAGTATTCTGGTCCAAGTCGTGGTCACAGTAGGTCAGTTATGTGGTTTGTCACTGTCTCTTTACTAATGTCTTTGCCTCTCATTCGTGAGAACTGGGTCTGCATTATTGCAGTCTGTCTGTAACAGCTTAGTATGCACAGCCTTCCCTGCAGCCTCTTATCAACCCTGAGAGTTACTACACTCCCACTGGAAAACAGGAGAGGCTGAGCAAAGAGGTAAGGTATACAAGAAAATTAATTATTAGAAAAAAAAGTATGTGCTTAGCCTGTGGATTAGTTCAGTCCTGACCATTTCTATTTACACAATGACAATGCGCAGGCTATACATTGTACAAGTTTGAAAAGTTAACTTGCGGGCCTAGGTGCAAAAAGTGAGAGGACTGAGGGGAGAGCAATGGCAATGCACACACAGGATATAAATAAATTATTCATTCATTAAACTAAATGCACTAATGAATTTAGAAAAATAATGAATTACACTAAAAACATCATTGTGTGTAAATTACAAAACGAACAAACTATAACTGGGACAAGATGATTTTTAGATTATGTCCACTTTTAAAAAAGCAGCAAGTGAAGAAGAGTTTAAGAATATTTAAGATCTTGTGCTATATATCAACGCTATAATGTTTTTGATAATTTATCTAGTTTGAGTGCTTCTTTTATTTCTGTTTTGTAATGTGTAACTCATCAATGACATTTCCTCAATATGGGACGAAGGTTCTCTAATTATGCTGCCGTTTGATATAGCGCTTTTTTTGGACACTCAAAGACGCTTTACATGTCATTATTCATTCACTCCATACACGGTGGTGATAAACTACTACTGTAGCCACAGTTGCCCTCGGGCACACTGACAGAAGCGAGGCAACCAGTATGTGCCATCGGCCCACCACCACCAACCATTCACACACACCAGACTCATTCGGCAATGGGGGTGAAGTGTCTTGCCAAAGGACACAACGGAAGTTTGGCACTTTACAGCCGCAGCCGCCCCACTGTGGCTGGTGTTCCCAGGGGTTAAGTGCCTTGCCAAGGACACAACGACAGCAGAGAGAGTCGATGGAGAAAGTTAACTGCACTGTTTGTAGGGCTTTTTTCAATTGCTTTCAGAGCATTTGACCCAGATCAGGTACAAGCAGTGATTCTCAAAGTCTGGTATGCGTACCCCTAGTGGTCCGCGGGGCTCCCTCTAGTGGTAACCACTGAATTAAAGCGCAGTGCTCTGGAGGGAAAGAGGGGATATAAAAAAAAAAACGTTAAATAAGAAGGTTCCATTCTATTAAAACTTTTAAAAATGATAACCCATTCATCCATTTTCTACCTCTTCATCCATTTCTGGGTCGAGGGGGTGGTCCCTCACTGATCCTCCTGCAGGGAGTGAGTCCACAGGAGGATGGCTGCTCTGTGGCATAGCCTTGATCTTTCAGCGGGGGCTTCAGGCAAAGTGGGGTTAAGTATCTTGCCCAAGGACATAACAACAGCAGTCATCAGTGGGAGTTGGTGGAGAAGGTCTCATGGTGGGCTCGAACCCACGACCTTCATGCCATTCTATTAAAACTTTTAAATATGATAACAAGATTTTTTTAAATGAAACAAATATTGGCTTTACATTTTAAGTTGAAGAACAGAAATAAATGAACTTTTGAACTATATTCTTATTTTCCAAGTGTCACCTTTAAATATGACCCAATATGTTTTCCTGCATTCTAAGAAATAAATTCATTTGATATTTTTGTATTGTTTGGTAATGTAAGAACTCATATCATGCTAACATGGAACATAAAGGGATGAATAAAAAGCTCAAAACAGTTTAAATCTGACACTAAATATTTTTACATTAACCAGAGTAACTAAAATGTGTTCAAATGGGGACAACATGGAACTAAAACAGTTTTCCATCTCCACAATGAATGATAGATCCAACTTCCCCAGTTCATATCAAGTGTGGACGCTCCCTAAAATGCACAAGTATAAAAACTTGTTCTCGGTACTTTCTGGACGGAACCTTTTTAAAACTATTGAAAAAACAGGTTTCAATCAATGCCAGTCAAACACAAGATATTGCTCTGCATAAATTACTTGGACACAAACATACAATGGTAATCAGATCAATTCTATATTATTTACAGATATTGTGTATTTTTGGTTTTGCAGCACAATTTATTTTGTGTTAAAGTTTTTTTTTCTCACACACCCTTACTTACAGAATGTGACTATACACAACTTTCAGACACTTAAGAAAGAGGGACTGGGTGGTTCCTTTTCTTGACAGGATGAGGATGGGGACAGTTTTTGTTGCTAGTATGAGTTAAATTGCATTGCACAACGTTTTCTTGAGGGTTTAGCTCAGATGCCCTTTTGAGGATTCCATATGGTTGAGTATCTATAATTTAGGACATCATAAATATGCAGTTGCCTCTTTTGCCTGAGATGACATGGGCAAAGACAGTTCTAACAATCTGTTCTGCTTCTCCTGAGGTCTGAGAGCAGCAGTCTACTGTAATGTCTTTAACATCCTGCACACTTAGAGTGACTAGAAGCAGATATCAGCCGACTTATGCCAGATGGGACTTGAGTTAAAACTTAATGAAGATAAATAATACTCCCCTCAAGGAACAGGCAACAGAGAAAGGCAAAAAAATGACTTTTAAATGAATGCCCTGAGATCTTGTGAATGTCGAGAATATAAAAAGGTACTACTAATTACAAACATTTAAAAATCAATGTCAAATGTGGAAATTTAAATACATTTTACATGGCATATCATTGCTGTTTTTTGCTTCATAAAAACCCATGTTGTTTGCCTCCACAGTAAGAGTCTTGTGAAATAATGTTAACAATTCAGACCTATCTGATTACAAGACTTTTTTGATACATTTTTTGAAAGAAAAGCCGTGTGAATCCCTATTTGACTCGGGCTGCGAGCTGATGGGAGGAGTAGGGATGGTCCTCACTTTTCTGTCTGAAAAAGCCGATAAACCTACACGCTTGTGGAAGAATTGTGACAAAATCAAACTGGTTATATTACAAACTTTAAGATATATCATATTTTGAATTGGATTTTGTTACACCAAGAAAATTACCCTGTATGAAGTAGGAGCACACAATGGTATAGATTATCCATACAACATTTGAGGGTTTATAAATGGTCTGACTTTATTTTCACTATTAAAAATGCTAATTTTTGGATAATTGTGTCCAGCAATCTTCGCCTGAGCATAAGATAAAGTTGGTGTCACAGATGGACATAAGGGGTGATGACACTTTACACTTGTGGAGGCGTGTGATGATTGAGGCGGCTGCTCTCTCCTCCTGGAGCTCACCAAGTCCTCACCAGGCGTCTGGATGCCTCCTGGTGGTAAAATCATGTAATACTGAGACTCATTATTACATGACGAGATGAATACACTGTTGTCTTTCGGAATGAGTGACCTGCATGATAAATGATGTCCATTAAATATTACACCTTACACCAATCAATGTAATTGTGTAATAAAATCCATCTAACACGTTCCTTGCTGTAAAAACAGTTTGGTTCTATCACTAGTTTTCACATGTTTGGCTTTTGTCACATCTAAAAAAGTGAATATAATATATTTGTCTCTTTCTGTTGAGACAAAGTTATGATTTGGGGAGGGGATAAGTTGGGTATTTAAAAGTACAATAAGAGAATATAATAATATGGTCATCATTGATATGTATTATTACTGTAGATGTCTTTTCTGTTCTCTATGATGTATCTAATAAACTTTGCACCCTATGTTTACTTAAAACTCATGCCCACACGCTCCGGCTGAAGTCCTGCTGAAGGATCACACGTTGTTCTACTTGGAACGGCAGCGTGAGTTCAGTATACACACAGGAAGTGGAGAAGTATGTTTTTTGTGCTCATAGTCTGCCTGCTGCTGAGGCCTGGCTCCGCTGCTATAATGACATCTCCATTGCATGAGGTAGGTGGAAATCTGTGACTGATCCCACTGCTCTGGATCCCTGCAAAGTACATTGAACTCTTCAACTTGACTCTGTTCATCATCCTGTCAGAAACAGACTGAGATATTTTGATAATAATAGTCTATTCATTAAAGCAGAATAGTGTGTTTTGTGAGTAAATTACATTGGAAATTACACTGACAAAACATTTGTGAAATGCCTTTTTTTCTATTTTTTTTTTCACTTTTTTAAAACTTGTTTGTACCATGAGACATGAGGTTGTAAGAGTCCTGTTACTTAAAATGGCAATACAAATAATTCTGATAGTTGGAGTTCACAGTTATTTCAGAGAATTACCCTATTTATAATATTATTGTGTTTTTTGTTATTTATCAGTCAGCACAATGGGACAATGCAACAAATACCACAGTTTCTCCATGTGGGGATTTCGGTATGCATAATATTCTCTCATAGGTGAAAATGGGTTGCAATAATTGTTTTGTGTTTCAGTGAATAAACGACAGTATCGCTCAGTGAAGTTTCCTGATGTGACCCACTTAGAACTTTTGGTTGTTGTTGGCCCAGAGGTCAACAATGTCCACAAGCCTGACACTGAAAGATACATTCTTACCAATCTCAATATTGTAAGAAAACACATGTTTTTATAACTGCACATGCTGTAACTGTGATTAACCAGTGTCTATCCAGGCCTCTGAGCTACTGAGAGACATGTCTTTTGGAGCCAACATGAGGGTGCACCTGGTCAGGATGATTATTCTGACAGAACCCGAGGTCTGTCGTACAACGCCATACCTCATGTTTTTGTCAATCAACAAAAGTATGTATTGTTTCATTTGTATTGTTTATAGCCAGAAATCCAACTTTCCCCAAACATCACCTCGTCTCTGAGAAGTGTCTGTAACTGGGGGAGAAGAATAAACCCGTCCAATGACACAAACCCTCTCCATGCTGATCTCTTGATATACATCACCAGGTCCATGATTACCCACCTAATGAATGTGTGTCACAGAATATAAGGTGCTCATATTTTGACTTTCATTAAAAGGTATGACCTTGTGTTACCTAATGGGAATAGGCAGGTCAGAGGGGTAACACAGCTGGGCGGGGCATGCAGTGAGGACTGGAGCTGTGTAATTACAGAAGACACTGGCTTTGACCTGGGAATCACAGTCGCTCATGAAATTGGCCACAGGTAAAAGTGATTCTACCAAAAACATTACGCTATACAAAACAACTGCATATAATGCATCCACAAGTTGAATAATCTACAAAGTTCTTTTTACAGGGGATTTGACAATTTTTTGTGTTGCATAGTTTTGGGATCAACCATGATGGTGTGGGAAACAGCTGTAGCAGAAGTGGGTTCATAATGGCATCAGACGGAGGTTATAACAGTGTGGATCTGACCTGGTCCTCCTGCAGCAGACAGCAGCTGCGGACATTCTTCAGGTGGCTCTAGCTGCTCTCTGCAGCTGCACATTCACAGAGAGTAAAGACTAAAACAGCCGCCATGTTCATGTCATCATCATGTTTAATGTTCTTATTCACATTTGTAATGAAGCACAAGGTTTCTACCACAGCACCTGTTGCTTGACTGTGCTTTTATTGGATTGGATGTTTCTAGTATGGGGAAGGCTGAGTGTGTGAGTGACCTTCCTGCTCATGGGGGCTCTCTCCAGGACTGGAGACCTGGGCTCTACTATGGAGTACATGAGCAATGTCAAATAGCCTTTGGTAAAACAGCCAGAGCCTGCACTTTCAGCAATACAGATTTGGTAAGATCATACAAATATACCATCAGATGGTATGTTTCAAAGGACCGGCAATGTTTAGTTTACCACCAATTATAATTTTTGTTCAGCCTCCATGTCGCGTTTTGTCATGTCATGTGGACTCCAATAATGACAGCTCCTGCAAACGTTTGTTGGTGCCCTTATTGGATGGAACTGAGTGTGGCCCAGACCAGGTACAGGCTATGTATACAGTATATGATAACTTTGAATACTGAACATCTACAACATACTGAATATCTGTTACCCGACAGTGGTGTTTGAAGGGCCGATGTGTGTCACTGGACGAGCTGGGCTCCTCTGTGGTGGTGAATGGATCCTGGTCCAGCTGGTCTGCCTTCTCCCCCTGCTCACGCACATGTGGCGGAGGAGTCACTCATCGTACAAGAAACTGCAATAACCCAAAGTGAGTAACATGGGCACACAAGAACCAGTCATCAGACCAAATCAATCTTTCAAAACTATATTTTCAGACCTGCATTTGGAGGACATAATTGTGTGGGCATGGATGTACAAGCTGAACTTTGTAACCGAAAAGTAGGTTTGAATAGTCCTCTTTACAGTAATTTACATAATGATATAATATCTTATCTAAAACTATATTTTAGCCCTGTGAGCAAACCCAACTGGATTTCATGGCAGATCAGTGTTCCCATACAGACCTCAATCCACTTTACCTTCAGCCAAACATTGCATCTTTCTATACGTGGGCCCCTGCTATTGGCATTGTGAAAGGTAGGTTCAAAAAGAAAATATGATAAAGCACAAAGAATTAAACTAAAATAATCAGTAGTCTGGTGCATGGATATTAGATGAAGTAGGCAGTGTTTCGGTTCACTTAACAGGAAATGATCAGTGCAGGCATATGTGCCAGTCAGAGGGAGAAAACTTCATTGTGAGTCGAGGCTCTCAGTTTGTGGACGGCACTCGGTGTGAATTAGACATTCCACCTTCCTTCGGCTCCATAGGCGCATGTCTGAAAGGGAAATGCCAGGTAAATATGACCAAACAGCACAACATACTGCTGCTGCCCATGAATACCTCTGCTGCTGCAGTTTAGATAAACAAAATGTTGTCTTGAGGAAGCTCTTCAGCTGTGATGGTGTCCTGCTGTCCGATAAAGTAAATGACGTCTGTGGAGTTTGTGGTGGAGATGGATCATCCTGCACTTTAACCTCAGAATCCTTCACTGGTGGACTGGCAAAACGTAACAGTACATTTTATATACATTTCACATTGCTGAATAATTGTCAAAATAATGTGTTTTGTGTGTCATTTCCATGATTGCAGACTATACAACCTTTTTGGCAATTCCTGTGAATGCCACCCAAGTTCATATTATAAACAGGGCCCCACTTTTCACACATATGGGTAGGTATAGTACAACCATTGATACATTTGGATTCGTGTTACATAACTATTATGTGCTTCACCAGCTGTAATGGTTGGAGGCCAGTACGTAGTGTCTGGTAAAGGAAACATGGCTCTGAATATGACGTATCCCTCTTTACTGGATGAAAACCATGTGGAATACCGCCTACACTTGACCACTGACCTTTTACCAGAGATGGAAGAGCTTCTTCTACCTGGGCCAGTGCAACAAGAAATATATACACAAGTTAAGCTCACAGAATCCAAATAGTTTAAAATGTTATACTTATGAATGTGATCTTGCATTAACACACGTGTTTAACCAGGTCTATCGCAAATATGGCACAGAATATGGGGAAAAAACAAACCCAAACATCTCCTACACATTTTATCTGCCAACACATAACAAATCTTCATTAACCAGCAAACCGAAAGGCAAATGGATAGACTTTCTAACACCATGCACTGTCTCTTGTGGTTTGGGTAAGGTACTTTTGAACGTGGAATAAGAGAAAATACTGCTAAATAAATGTAACTATTTCAGGAGTTCAGAAACAAATAATTGTATGTGTGGATCAAGAAACCAGTGAACACTTAAAACATCAATTCTGTGATGGACCAATGCCATCTGACCCAGTTTCCACAACCTGCCAGCAACCACCATGTCCTCCCAGGTAGAAATGTACCTCACTCTTACAGTGAAGCTAAAGTGATTCATTTGATTATTTGTGTGTTTTAAAGGTGGGAAACAGAGAATTTTGGGCCTTGTAGTTCATTGTGTGGAGGAGGAAAGAGGATACGTCCTGTAAGATGTGTCCAAGAAAATGGAAATGAACTCTTGGGTCTACCAGAATCTAAGTGCGGGCTTGAAACAGCGCCACCTGCTGTTGATGAATGTAATATGCATCCTTGCCCCACCAGGTACCAGCAAAGTCAAGGAAAATATGTATCAGGGTTGTATTTGTCCCATTGACCCACTAACACATGTATGTTTGTTACAGATGGCAAGCCTCAGAGCCAGGACAGTGCTCAGTGTTGTGCGGGTCAGGGGAGGCTAAACGGGAGGTGCTCTGTGTCTGGGAGGAAGATGGACGAGACATCCAAGTGAATGACAGTTTGTGTATACAGCAGAATCGGCCTCCCGACGTAGTTCCCTGTGTAACAAATGTGTGCCCAGAAGAATGGGAATCTAAGGCAGAGGTAAAGTGGAAAAAGGTTCCCTGTTCTGAATACAGTTTGAGGTAACAGTAATATGTTTTGCCATAAAGCAGGACAAGCTCACTCTAAGTGTGGGTCTGATGCCCCGGTCAAGGCCAGATTCTGTATATGTGTGGAGTCCTGTACACAGCCAGTGCACTAAGACATGTGGTAACGGTGAGTATATTCACAATTAATCCCAACAGAATCAGAAATACAAATAAAATTAACTAAATGCATAAAGCTTGATGCATTTGTAGGCACTCTGCAGGTGTGGTTTGCCTGCGTAGAACTCCAAACGCAACTGAATGTTCCAAATTCCAACTGTGATGCCTCAACTCAACCCCATTCATATTCTGACACGTGCAGCTCATCCCCATGTCCTCCCATGTAAGAATGTCATGTTGTACTATATATCCAATGTCAATTATACACTTAAGCATTTGCACACTTACCAACTTTACACACCAGGTGGCGCTCCAAGCAAGGCGTTTGCAGTGTGTCTTGTGGAGGTGGGGTAGCCAACCTGGTGCTGTACTGTGCAATGCAGACAGAGAGGGGGGAGGTAGTTGTGGATAATAAAGAGTGCAAAGACTTTACAGAACCAAAAGCAGTGGTGGCCTGCAACACCCACAGCTGCCCAGCTAGGTATAATACATAATTCATAATCATTCAGCGGAAAGTTTTACATTTAAACATTTTTCTTTTGTTTTCAGATGGAAGGTTTTACAGATAAACGCCTGTTCAGTGTCTTGTGGATTAGGAGTAGCTCATAGGACATTTTTGTGTGTCCAATATTTTAATGGAAAAGAAAGCATAGTGCCAGATAGTACTTGCCATGCTGCTGACAGGCCAGCCACCATGGTCCCATGTTTATTGAAAGTATGTTCATTTGGATGGGAAGTCAAGTCATGGACCCAGGTAACCTTAAATAGAAATAATAAGTACAGCATATAACCATGAATGAACTGACAATACTGCTGGGTGGCTGTCTAGTGTTCTGTGAGCTGTGGCTATGGGATCCAGTCCAGAGTTGTGTCATGTGTAGGGCCCTCAAGTCCCGAACCAGTCAGCCCTCTGCTTTGTATGCACATGCCCAAACCCATAACTATTCAGAGCTGCAATATTGGCTGCCTCGACACGACACCTGCAGCAGTTGCCCATCCTACATCCATAACTCCAACAATACCAGCTAACCACACTGAAGAACCACGCCTCTCTCCAAGTATGACCCTCAAAGAAGCACTATGTACTACAGTGGCTTTGTACTACAATGGCTTTGCTTCTGTGATTACTTTAACAGTTCAAGAATTGACATTTCAAAACCTGTTGTTACACTGTTGTGATACCCTTTTTGTTTTTTTTCCCATTGCATTTCATCAAAAGGCATATGTGGGCATTTGCTGTTGGGTGAAGCAGGAATAATAGATCTAACTAATGCAACAGGCCGATGTATGGTTTCAATAGGGAGACCACTGGATGAAGTCATTCACATCAAAGTGGAATCTAGTTACTTAAATTGCAGTAAAAGTAAGAATACATTGATTATGATATTGTAAATGTGTCTGTGTTTCATGCTACTGTATATTTCTTTTCCTATAGGGGAGTATGTGGCCTTTTTTGACCGTATGTCATTTGTAAGGAAGTGCAAAAAGGCTGCTAGTAGTGTGCTGACTACCAGAACTAATGTCCTCTTGATACGTCAATATTCACAAAGGAAGGGGAACGGTGTTATTCTGACGTACAAAACAGAGAAAAGTATAACGGAAAATTACCACAGAGGTAAGACATACGCCCGAATCAACCTTAGAGCTTGCATATAAAACTATAACAATGCTCATGCTGTATACTTACCAACAGTCATGCAATTCTGTCGCCTGCAGTATGTGACGTGCAGCTATTTGCTCCTATGGGGATATTTGAGAATCCAACCACCTTGAACATCAACCAGACATGCCGGGTTCTAATCAATGCTCCTCCCTCAGTAAAAATCAGGATTCAAGCGAAATACATAGGATTAGTATTCAATTCCACCAACTTACAATCTTCATACATTATGGTACAGATAATGCACTGTGGAAATGCCGCACTCAAGAAAAGTAAAGTTACCATGGATTGTTTGTCCTCTGCCCAGATCCGGGACATGGATGTCCTGAAGACTCGTGTGTTCAGTGGGCAGCAATTGTTTTTTTGGCAGTCTTCTGGAAACATGGCTGAAGTGGAATTTCATGGCAACTATCTGCGTTCCAGTGGGACCTTTAGAGCTGAATATTTTTTTATGGGTTCATGAATTTGACCATTTTAAAATTCTGTCGGCAAGCTACCTGAAGAAATTATTGTATTTTGCAGTCATACATAAAATAATGTAATACAATTAAAACATAATAAAAAAGTCTTAATAGAATCTGTGTACAATTTAAACAATATATTAAAACATACATTGATAACACGCGCTTGTTTTTGCCATAGACCATAATAAAATCTTACAATCAGTTAAATAGATTTTCAACTTTCAATTTTCAACGCATATTCTCACAACTGCTGCATGTGTAAATCCCAGCTCTCATCCAGGCGGGGAAGGCAACACTGCATTGGACTATAGTGTTGGCTCAAACAGCATCCTCCAGAAGGGCTCTCATGTCCAACAGAGCCTCTTCTATGGCCCGGGCAAACTTGGCAGCATTGGTGTCCTCACAGCTGTTGAAGGCTGTGATGGCGATGTTGATGTGCTCATCCATGGGATTGTAACACACTCCATAGCCATCTGGCACCATCGGACCAAAGCACATCACGCAGTCTGTCTTAGAGCCAACCTAGACAGGGACAGGGAGGGATTAGGGCAAATATTCAAACAAACAAATAAGACACCATGCAATTATTGATAGAACTCTCATGAGAAGTTGTCTGTCTATGAATATACTGTACACTACCTGACTGGTATAGATATGATAATGTTGTGCTACAGCATAAGAAGTGTCCATGAATAACTCTGGCATTGATGTAAGATCCTCAATACTCTGGATTTTCAATCCAAGTAAATGTCTATCGATGCCTTGCCCATGGATGGCCTGAAAGGACATGTGCAATTGATTATAGAAACTTGATGTAGCAAAGGAAATATATCTAAAAAAATGCTTACATTGTATGTATTTTGTCTGTGAGTCTGGATAGCCTTCTGCAGCAGTGTCCGTCGGTCTGTGCTCTGTGTGCCAAATCAACCGTCAGACAGATAATATAATGTGTATGTTTTGTTAAATGAGCTTTGAAAGTGACCTGAGTGGATGGGTCTGCCATGGCCTGAACAAACCGTAAAGAATCCATAGTAGTTACACGGACACCTTCTGTTCGTCCTAATTTAAACATTCGTAAAGATGCACTCTCATAAGTGGAGCAGCAAATCTTGTACATCCTGTTGCATAATTACAGAAACAAAAGCCCATTAGGAGCAGGCTAGACTTTGCCTGATGATGTAATAATGTGTACCTAAAATAGGCCAGTTGCAAAGCCATTTGTATAAACCCATCTGGACTTAGGTGATGTTGCTTTGGCATTTTTTTTCCAAAATGAGAAAAGAGTACTACCTTTACATCCAGGTCATGAACCATCCTAATAAAGAGTTAATAAAACACAGTTAGATGATATACAAATAATATGCATATGACTGGGACCATACGCACATATTCATGTTTTGTTTGGCTTTCTCAATGTCTCTTTTGACCTCTGATGTGATGTTAAAACGTAGTTTCTGAGGCATTGACAGAGGCACCATAGGGGATCGAACAAATTCACTCTTCTGCCTGATAATAAAAGTCAATTAGGAATCTTAAATACAGATACATAATGCTGTCCATTTGTGTCACTAATGCTTACATGTATTTAACAACATAATCAATGAGATAAATAACTGGTGGCCCTTCTGCCGGAGCATGTTCATATACAAGTCCACATGTGCCGTCTTCCCCCACTATGAACTGAGAATAAAGCAGAAGCACATTTACCATTTTGTTTGAATCATTTCAACGTCTCTCATTCTGTTGAAAACTAACCTGCAATGTTTTATCAAACCATCGATTGCCACTGTTCCACCGGGCCCCTCCTCCATGCAACATCTGCGCAGCTACCCTGCTTAAATAGAGCTCGTCCGACACGCGAGGATTTGGGGCGTCCAAACAAACTGTGAAGATGCTCTTTTCGATGGCACGAACAGATTCCTTGTTTGTCTTATCTGAAAATAACAAATTAAAAGTTAAAAGTGTTCTCTTATTATTTAAATTTTATTATTTTATCCATTAGGTGCCAGAGTTTAATCAGAAATGTAATGTGAAATGGTGGGGTAACTGAAACTACTAAAATAATAATAATAATAATAATGCATCAGTTTTATAAAGCGCTTTTCAGGACACTCAAAAACACTTCACATGTCATTATTCTTTCACTCCATACACAGTGGTGATAAACTACTACTGTAGCCACACTGACAGAAGCGAGGCAACCAGTATGTGCCATCGGCCCCTTTGACCACCACCAACCCATTCACGCTCACCAGACTCATTCTAATCAATGTGGGTAAAGTGTCTTGCCTAAGGACACAACGACAGGTGCCCCACTGCCGCCTGGTTTTCCCAGAGGTCTCCCGTCACAGTATTAACCTGGCCCTGCTCTGCACAGCCTCAGAGGTCTGATGGGATCTGGCTTTCGCATGCAAGTATGGCCACAAAAATCAATAATGAAAATAAATGAAAGAAAAATATGTAGAAAATTGTATGAAAAGATTGTGGGAAGCTGTATGGACAGTGTTTTGTTGAAATTCTGATACTTTGGCGCCTAAAGAGCTATCACACCTTTAACAAGATTATTATAGGCTTTTCCCCAGGTGTTGCGGTGCTGTGATGTTAGGATACCAATGGGTTCCTTATTTGTCTGTAAGGAAGAGTTCCAGATTTTTTCCAGCTGCATATAAATCTGGTCCACTGTCAGAGGGGTGCCATCGCTGTTGTACACATCCAACACAAAGAACTGGGGACACAAGTAAAGAGAAACATGTGGATGTCACATGAATGACATATTCAGAACACATTGAGTCTAGTTAGTGGAAAGAGCAGTGATGTTAAATACAAAACAGTTTACCTGGAAATTGTGCACCACAGTGATATGTGTAGGGGGCGTACTATTTCCGCTGGCATAATTGACAACAGTGTCTCGCTTTGGTCCTGGTATCCGGCAAGATGACAGGATCTGATAATACTGATCCATGCATAGAGGTTTATTGCTCAAATATTCTATGGGCACTGTGTTTCTACAAGACAACAAATAGTATTACAAACCATTTTAATTGTATAAATGTAATGCAATAAAATGAAAAGAGCAGGGAAAGGTTTTCTGTAACTCACGTGTCAATCATATTTTTGAATTCAAGAACTCCAGCTATAAGTTTGGCAGCAAACCTGTAGAAAATATGCATCTGTGTTAACAGTTTGACACAACAACGTCTGTGCACCAAGATTTCTAAAGAGTTGACAGTTACAAGCCACACAATCATTTCTGGAGCCTCCAGTAGAATTCAAGCTTTGATTTATTGGGCTACCCTGTACATAGGGTGTTGTTCATTGCATGTCCCCTGGGTCACTGTATTTATAAACGGCTGAACGGAGCTCTGAGCAGCCAAAAGCTTTAAATAGCTCAAGCCACAAAGAGGGGGCATTCTCTGGAAAGGTTGTTCTCAGACACCAGGTTAAATTCAACTTGTTCAACATAAAGAAAATTACATTTACAAGACGGAATATTCCAAGTCACTGATGCCTATAAGTCAGGTACTAAAAATACAATGACAGTGTCAAGATATGAAAATAAGATTCACAATTAATTAAGATTTTATTGATTTTGAACCTCATTTGTCCTTGCCGATCTTGGAAATGCATCCGGGGAAGTACAATACCAGGACTGGTGTATACTGCCACCGGCATTCGACAGTCGAGATAAGCTGACTGCTTCCACCATTCTGAAAGCTGGGGACACATAATATTATTATTATACAATCTGTACACCAACTGAGCTTTATTATTATCTTCATATTATTGTATAATGAATGAAGTCATATAACTACCCAGTTTTCTGTTTTCCTTGCTCGCCTCTCCAGACCTTTTTGTATACGCTCACCAACACCACCTTTCAGCAGTTCATCGATGAGTTCGCGAGTGTGAGCCAGTTCTTCTTCACTCACTATCGGCTCCAAAGAGGTGAGGTAGCGCTCACAGGTCTGTTTGAGAGGTGGCACTGGTAGCTTTGGCAATCCGTCTTGGTGAGCGGCAGACCTTTCTGAAAGCTGTGTGATAGGTCTCACAATGTGGCATTGCTTCACAACACTGGGCCGCAGCTGCAAATTGTAGAGGATTTCACATAATCCAACCCAATAATGTATTTTTATGCAATAGTGAGTACACACAATTAATTGCATACAATAAGGATACATATATTAGTAGTCACTATAAGTAGTGTCCCCTTCTGAATGATTTTATGGTTCAACATTTGGATGAACGAAGCTACAACCCTCTAACGTTTCAACATACTCATGTGGTAAAGCCAAAAAGCAAAACAATAACTGCGTGATCATTTAAAACGGACGAAAATTATTATTTTGCTTGGATGTATTAAACATGTGAGGTTCCTCCAACAACCATGTTACCAATAACAATATAATGTGATCATAAGGATGAAATAAAATACATCCAGTAATCAAACGTGAGTGTCGCAAAACAGTACGGTCTGGTCTTGGCTCACTCACCCTGAAAACGGCCTGCATGTGTGAATGAATGAAATAACTGTTAGCAATAGTCACTACTGCGTGTTGTTTAGAAGAGTTTACAAAATACCATAATAACTACAATATGTTGTTGCACTAAAGCTATCTGCGGCCCCGCCCCTTGAGATTCTGCCGTAAAGCCGTGCGCATGTAGCACTGTCAACAACAACATGCTATTACGCTATTACGCAGGAACAACAGGCGAATACACAGTGACCCAGCCCCAAAACACTCACCGCACTTCTCACAAATACCCCAAACATGTTGTCACATAGAGGCGATAAAGGCTTTCTATGTGCGGAGAATAAACAAGAGAAACTCTGGTGCAGTCATGTCTCAAGGACAAGCTGCACTCGTCTATTCTCAGCTGTGCACCACTGGCGACCCGCCCCCCCGCTCCTGGTAAACACACGCACGCGTCTCACGCTCACGCCGGTGACAAACTAAAGTTTGTCTTTTTGACAGGAGTGTCATTTCACTTATTTATGTTAGTCAGTATTAAAAGTATATAACATCTCAGAAAAAAAATACATAGTGACGTGAAGTCCAAATGTTTAATATTGTATACAAAGTGCAGGTCTACAAATTTGATGTGTACGATGTTGACGATGTCATTTTACGTGAGTGCGATATGATTTTATTTTTCTTTCATAACACACTCGGCTTATACCATTATAACGTATATATATAACGTCCTCTGTAGACTAAAGTACACAAAAATAAAATTACCAAGCCAAATTTCCATGGACTTTATTACAACGCTTCTAATTAAGTCGTGACGTTGTTAAGGATCTCTTCATCTTAAGCTATTGTTTAGTGCAAACACTTGCACGAAAAGGCTAGTGTAACGTGAAAGAAAAGTGCATATGTGCGTGTGACTAGCTTGCACAGATAACTAATAGCCACATGGTGGAGCTCTTCCAACGTGGCTCCAAAGGAGCGGCTTCATGTACTCAAAAAAAAGCATTATTATTATTATTCGGGGTTTTTTTTTCGTTTTTTTTTTCTACCGAAAACATACAATAATCAAAGTAATTGAAATCAGCATAAGAGATTTTTTTTCATTACGAGTTTTATATTGGAACACCAATGATCAGAAAGCGCAGAACAGAGCTTGCACGTGTCATTATTTATTAAAACAATTAAAATAAATGATACAAACAAAATAATATACACATATCAAAATGCTTCAATTGCTCTTGTCCAGCCACTGCCCGTTAATAAAGTCTGTTTCAAACAAATAGTTTGAGTGGCAATTATCTGCTCAAGGTCCGTGTTCTGCCTACTCACAAACTCAGAGAGTCCACCAGAACCCAACACTGAAATCAGGTTGGAAATGTTTGAAGAGTCCAATTGATCTGAGTCCACATTCGAGTCCTCGTCATTCCTCATTCTTTTAAATGGCACAAGCCCAAAATCAGGCAGATAAAACTCTGGGTCAATAATATAATAACTTGTATCTATCCTTCGCTTCTTTCCGTAGTAGTGCGCGCCCTGCGGCTGTTTTGGCTGCGTGCAACAGTCTGAGTGGAAGTATCCGTTGGTGACAGTAGTCACCACATGCGTGTCCAGATCTAGGACAGTCTTTTGGTTGGTTGTACTTGGGACAGGTAACTCCCACGCGGATTTTTCCACACAACTCCAACAAGCTTCAGTCACCATGAGGTCAGAGTCACTTTGTGAAATCATTACGCAGGCTGATGCGTCTTGGTGCGCCACCTCTGCAGAATGATCGCTGGACTGGTGCGCTCCGCAGTGCCAAGTGCCCGACTCAACACCAGTAAAGTTGCAATAGAAGTCATCAGTCAACTCTTTAAAGCTTCCAGAGATTTCAAGGCATTCTTGCCGTTCTCGCACTGCGGCCACGTCCTCGTATTGTTGCGTCCTGTGAGTCTGCGACAAGTTTTTGCTCATATAAAACTGCCTGGCGTTTCTCAGTACGTATGTCACCAGTAAGTTCTTGTGGAGCTTGATGCCTCCTCTCTGCGTCCTGGAGCTCTGAATTTTTCTTAACGAAATAGAGATCAGGTTTTGTGCGTCAAAAGCACACTCCATTCTGTGGCGGGCCACCCTTTTCTGTTTGCCAGAAGATTTCTTCCCTATTTAAAGAAATGTGTATATCTTCAGTTGAGATTCCTACTTGGTTCGAGCAGACTGTGTCCATAGCGCTCCATGTCTTCCCAGTAAGGGCATGGATTTGCAACTCTCATCTTTCTCTTGCCACGCCCTCACATACATATTGTCCAATGAGGAGAAGGCGGTGCATCTGTTACACGCAAATATCACTACTAGCCTCATTGAGAATGCAGTATAGAGCGAGCATGCTGCATTTCTCCGCTTTCTTTAGGGCCAGAAAAATAATATAACGTTGTATTAAAATAGAAAATATTAATCAGGATATAGCCCTTTTTCTGTGGGTGGGCTTTCATATGCACTTTTTGCCTTCTGTTTGGGAAATTGTTCAATACAATAAACTTCCGTTTAAAATACCACATGCACAGCTAAATATGATTACTTTATGCAGCCTTACCAATATTGTAATGCAAATCAATTAAAGGACAGTTAAAGTAAACTGAAAAGATGTATAACTTAATCCAAATCTAGACTATTGAAAGAGGAGGGACATGTTTAGAGATGCTACATGGTCGTAGAGGTTGGTAATGTAAAACACTGACAGTGATGTCACAAGTTTTCCTTCATGGTAGAATTATCCTCTGTTCTGTGGGAGATGAGGTAAAAGCTCTTTATAGAAGTAATCGGTCGACTGTGGCCAACATGTGTTTGTGTACTTCTACTGCAGACCTGTGAACTTGGATTTCATGCCAAATAAGTAACTCAGGAGGACACACACTAGTCATCAAGTACTGGTATTACTGGAGTAATCCTGTAGGTTTAACTGTGTGATATATTTTATATATATATATATATATATATATATAACACTTTGTAATTCAATATAGTGTATCATTTTCATGTTATTTTACTCTGCTGTTGCTTATCATCAGGCGGTATTTGATAATTTCACATCATAGATTGTGTGAATACACATGAGAGGGGTCCTTAATTTTCATCATAGGTACACTTCATGTCCATGAAAAAAGTTTATAATGGTTAAGGAAATAAGTACTTAGTCACTAACTAAAGTTCAACTCTATACTCTGTAACCTTTGTTGAAAATGTCAGAGGTCAAACGTGTCTTGTAGGTCTTCACAAGGCTTACACACACTGTAGCTGGTCATTTGACCCATTCTTTCATGCAGATCATCAGTAATGGTTGGATGTTTTGGGACTTCCACTGGGCAACAGACTTTTGACTCCCTCCACAGATATTATATTGGGTTGAGATCTGGAGACTGGCTGAGCCAGGACCTTGAAATGATCTTTATGGACCCACTCCTTTGATGCCTGCATGGTGTGTTTTGGATTATCCATCAATGATGGAAGATGATTTTGCTCAAAATCTCTTACAACACATGGACCCACTCATCCCTTCCTTAATCAGTTGTCCTATCCTCTTTGCAGAAACGCAACCCAATACCATAATGTTTCTACCCCTATGATTCACAGTGGGAACTTTGTCCTTAGGATGCAGCTCAATATTCTTCCCTTTCCAAAGACAATGACCGCACGGCACTTGCTGTTGATTTCTGTATGAACTCGAACAGGATTCTTTTGGAGCAGCTGGGGCCGCTTTGGACAGCGGGTCCCGCATATAGCGGCTGCCTGTGAGCCGCTTTGACAACAACACGGCAGCGTGCAGCCGTAATGTGGCCATGTACCCAAGACCATATACACCCACAAGACCATTCTCTGCTTGTGTGCGTGTCTTTGCGTAACCAGTGCACGGAAAAAATGTAGCGCTGCAAGAAACAGTCCGCGTCTTCCTTGTGTCTCTTCCCAAAGCGCAACTAAACTTGCTAAATTAAAGCTGGGGTACGTACATTTTCCTCTTGAAATGGATTAAGGGGTAGAAAATGGATGGATGGATGGAAACTGCATATATCCTGAGCCTCTACAGTATGTGCTTCTGCATACAGTAAGGATAACTGTAAAAAAAAATAATAATAATACATGAAAAAAGAAACGGCCGGGCCGTCAAAGAGGCAAAAATGCCCGGGCCGTTTTCTGGTCCCAGTCCAGCCCTGGAGGGGTCACGATTACCGATGTAGCAGTAAACCCCATCGTGAGCCTTTTCGGGGATCTCTGAGGCTAGGTAAGACATCGTTAAAGTTTTAGCTTAAACAGATGAGGCGGGAGGACTTAGTGTTGAGCGAGAATGCAACAATTTGTCTGGGAATCCGTCTATGATAACGCAGCCTAGCTGCAAGCAACAGCAGCTAATATGCTAAGCTAAACAGGTAAACAGTAACAAATGAAACGGTGAAATGACGACACAGCATTATTGAGCTCTAGTTAAAGGCACTATACCATGCACCTCGTTTGCTTTAACCATTTTAGTGACATTCACTATGTGTATAATAATGAAGTGGATGTTATCAACCAAATGTTACTAACCAACATGAGACATTTGTTCATTTTTTTTAACTATTTCATTTTGTGTAGAACTATCAATGGTTTCTAAACATATTCACTGAACTTAAAAAATACAGCAATAATAGCAAAAAACGGGATAATTTTGGTCACAATAACCGTGAGGCAAAATTTTTATACCATGACCAGTGAGGGCCGGGTCCCGGCTCAATAGTGGCCGAAATTACGTGCGCTAGCAATATCACCCCGGGCCGATGGGGTTTCTAGAGAGGGACAAGAAACTTCTTATGAACACATTTTATAGAATTAATATTTCTTGCATACAAAAAAATATAACTAAAATATAGTTATATACCTGATTTTTAGCCACGTTGTTAATGATGTTGCTCTCTGCCATGTTAAGTTTTGCAGCAATGAAGTTGATCAACTCTGCGCAGGCTCGATTGTTAATGTCTGTGAGCAGTGACATAATATTGACAGTTTGCTCACTGCTGAAATTTGTATTCTCAAAGAAGAAAATGCAAGCTCACAAAAATATCTTACAAAGTACAAAATCACACATAGTCTTATAGTGTTTTATTCTTAATTACGAAATTCCATGTATTTTGAGTTTGTATTATCTTAATCATGAATTAATACAGTATTTTTATGCACCAATACCAATAAATATGCACACATTTTTGTTAGATATGCACGTCTTTATTGACAGTAACCTTACAAGGCCTTCTCTGCTGGCCTAAACATAATCAAGAACATATTTTTTGTAATAGGTTATTTCCACAAATATGTTTAAAATTATACGTATTTGTCTATACTTATGATTTAGTTTGCCGCGCAGCTTCCAGCCCTAGGTAAAACATTTGGAGGGCTGGTATTTATGTTAGAGTTTTTATCCAATCAATTGCCACTGACGTGTGAACACGTCAAACCGAATAGTACAGTTGTCTGTTAACACGTCAATTGCGTTTTCCGCTATTTTACTGTTCCCAGATTATATTGAATATGTATGGGGATTAGCTTTAGAACATATTTTATCAAGCCAGCAGGCGGCACCAGCGCTGCCTCTGTATGTTTTGAAAACAGGATGCACTTGTTGTGCCTCTTTTTTCTCAGCGTTTTGATGATTTCAGTAAAACTTCCCTCTACTCGACTGGGGATTTCAGGGGAACGAAACAAGCTAGAAACAAAATTATTTTTGCTGATGAACGTAGACAGTCCATTCTTCGGATTTCAGATAGTCATAGTACACAATATTCTGTGGGTCTTGAAAAATCAATTAAAAAAACATCAGAAACGGCTGGCAATATGGGAGTAACTGTCCTGAAATAGGCTGGCAGGCAATGAGTTAATCATTATTCAGCCGTCATGTGTTAGGGTCCAAAATCAGAGCTGAATACGTTTCTTGTTTTGGCTCAAAAGCAAATGGAAATGTTGCAGGTATTTTTTGTTCCTCATTTGATTGCATGCCCCAGTACAAAAGTAGTCCTGCCAACTGCGCTTCCCTGTCCTTCAAACGCTTGGCCTCTCTCTGTTCTTGTGGGGACTTTCTTATGGATGGCTGTTTCGTTGTATAAGCAGTAACCTGTAACGAAGACACGGGAAGTTTCAGGTTCGCCTCCGCCATGATGCTCGTTTACTTCAGCTGTCCGTGCGCGCTAACGGGAGACCTTTAGCTTTTCTCAAGAAAGTGGGGGCCAGTGGTCCGCTGTGATTGGTCACAATCTGGTCCAGAAATAAATTCACGTCTGTATTGCGCGAAAATGTTATCTAAAATAGAATTAAACTCCAGTAAAACCAGCGCTACCTATTCATAAAAATTACTTATATCCTAATGCACTGCATGGATATGGATTGTAGTCCAGATTTAAAGTGAATGATAACAAACCTGTGGCATTGGCTAATCAGCATGTTTTCTTCACTGAGGGGCAGCTCACTGGCGTACAACTTTTGTGCAGGCCCGTCTTTTGATGGGATTCGCAAAATAGAAGGATCTTTGTTTACACCCGCGTGTGCATGCGCCCCTCGCTGTGTGACAAAAAGACAGAGCAGCACATACTGTAGCATGGATGCGACGAGTACTTTTAAGACTTAGAGGGCTGTTACTTACGGTAAACGTGGAACACAAAGCCGCGGCGATGAGCAACCAAAATGCAAAGTTTAAAATTAATCATCACCGTGACCAAGTGCACAGTGAAAGTAGTTGCAAAACTTAAATTTGTTCATTAATTTTTATCCCCTCATCCCCCTGGCTTCCCATTCTAAATTTACCGTAGGTAACAGCATAAAAAGGAAAACCACTTTACCACGGCCGTTTTTCGCTGTTCTTTTCCAAAAGAATTTGAAAGAAAACTTAATCTGGCCTCAGCTGGCCGTACAACCGACCACACAACAAGAATGGACTATTTGATTTAGTAAAACCTCTCTCCAAACGTCTAAAAAAAGCTTACTCCCAAACATACAGGTAGCTTTCTAGGGTGTTTTGCCACCCGGTCACGTGACCGGCACGGAAAAACTATAAACAACAACGTCACTCCAAGATCCTATTATCCGCACACTCCTTCTCTCCATCCTCCTATAGAGAGGATAGAGAGGTCAGAGGAGTAACTCAAATAACCACGGGTTACAACACAGGTATGCAAGAGAGCCTCTCTGAACACAGAACACGTCAAACCTTCGGGCAGATGGGCTACAGCAGCAGAAGACCTCACCGGTGCCACTCCTGTCAGCTAAAAGTGATATAACCTCTCTTAGCATCATCACTGCTTCTCCGAAATATGAGTTCCGTGTATCGCCTGAACAATATTGTCCAATGAGCTGAATGATTATATCCAAACAGCGCAAAGCTTAGGTTCTCACTATTGCGACAAGAACAACCAGCAAATTCACTTACACATACAGTATGCAAATGAACCAGGGTTTGGCTTTTGGTGTGCAACTCTGGTTTTCTAACAAAACCACACATTAGTGCAACAATCTCTGCAGGTTTTCCTCTCGATCAGCAGCGCCTTATTGGTCAGAACGCCTCTGTGCACATGCATGAGAGCCACACACTGGGACGGTTTGCAGCCGAGTGTGAACCGGCTGGGATGAGAATCAGCACCTCCAATTCTGAGGCCATGGTACTCGACCGGAAAAAGGTGCCTTGCCCTCTACAGGTGGGTGGAGCAGTCCTTCCTCAAGTGGAGGAGTTCAAGTATCTCGGGGTCTTGTTCACGATTGAGGGAAGGATGGAGCGCCATCTTGGTGCAAGATGGCGCCGGAGTGTCTGGTTCGCCGCTTTGCTCCGCCAGTGTTTATGTGTTTTACGTTGTTTTTATCCTGTTTCACACGGACCACAAACTCTCTCTTGGTGTACGAACGCCATGAGTTAATGAACATCAAAGCATTTGTGGACAGATGTGCGGAATATCATAGAGATGAGCCACACAAGTCGCGCCCCACTTACCTATCTGACGTTCCGGATTACTTGCTTCGAGTGAAAGCCTTGCTACCCAAGAAACGCAGGCGTCGGGGAGTGCGCAGTAGTAAGCTAGTCAGGTTGAAATCCTGGCTAGCCTTATCTCCGGAGTTGATCTGGTGCCCAACGAGTGTTCCCCGGGACTACGATGAGTGTCTTCGTCGCCTCATCGCTCGACGTCAGCTGGCTCCTATCGCTCCAGCTTGGCCGCAGCCAGTGATCGGTGAGCGGGGAGTGTCTGCGGCTCTTCGCCCTCGCCGATGTCGGCTTCAGGAGCTCCACAATCTTCGCAAGCTGAATCACGTCTCTTCTGCTGCTAAAGTGCCCCAAACTTCTCTGAAATGTACACTTCTGAACGCAAGATCCGCAAGGAATAAGACTTTTATTCTACGGGACTTCATCTTTTCGCACTCATTGGATTTATTCTTTCTGACGGAGACCTGGATAAGTGCGGGTGAGTCGGCTGCCTTTACTGAACTTGTACCTCCGGACTGTGTTTTCATAAATACGCCGAGGCATAGTGGTCGAGGAGGTGGTGTTGCGTCGATATTGAAAAACAACTTGTGCTACAAGCTTCTGCCAGCGATGTCCTTTACTTCATTTGAAGTTAGTTGTTTTGAATTAGGACAGAATGAACCCGTTTTCTGCGCGCTGGTTTACAGACCGCCGAAGTACAATATGAACTTCATCAATGACTTTTCTGAGTTTATGTCTCCAGTGTTGATGGACTATGACAAGTTTTTAATTGTTGGAGACTTCAATCTACACGTCTGTTGTTCAGCTACTCCTTTGGTGAAGGACTTTTTAGATTTGGTTGAAGGTTTTAATTTAGTGCAACACGTTACTAGACCCACACAGATACTGTACGTGGCCATACTTTGGACTTGGTTTTGTCTTGCAATCTGTCTGTTTACAATTTACAAGTTGGAGATGCTATTATTTCTGATCATTGTCCTGTTTTATTTGAATTCACAATGAATGATTGCATTAAGCCGCCCTGTCCTGTGCGCTATTGTCGCACTCTTTGGCCAGACTCGGCAGCATCTTTTTCCTCTCTTTTTTTAGCTAGCGCCCAACCTGAAATAAGTTCTGTGTCTGTGTGCCAGGATACTGAGAAAATGACGAATTTATTTATTGCTGTATGCACAGAAATTCTTGACTCTGTAGCTCCACACAAAGCTCAGCGCCCCAGAGCCAAGCCTGTACCATGGCTCAACGACAGTACGCGTGAGGCCAGACATATATGTCGGCAGGCAGAGAGGAAGTGGAAAAAGGATCGGCTACAGGTGTCATATGAAATCTTAGTTGGCAGCTGGAAAACTTATCAAAAAATGGTCAGACTGCAGAAAATCAAATATTTCTCTGATGTTGTCCAAAGAAATGCAAATAATCCACGTGTTTTATTTCAAACCATTGGGTCTGTTTTAAACCCGCCCCAATCTACTTTTGTCCAATCTAGCACTCAAAGTTGTGAAGATTTTTTGTCTTTTTTCACAAACAAGGTTGCGCTTATTCGTTCAAGCATATTGCCCCCTTCTATTGACTTCTGCATAAATCAGCCCTGCTCAGCGGTTTTTACACGGTTTGAGCCAATGTCTTTGCAGTCTCTAACAAAAATTGTCAGTCAAATAAAACCCTCATCTTGTCCTACAGACCCGGTCCCTCCGAGGTTGTTCAAAGAAGTGTGGGAAACAATTGGTGCTTGTGAGATTGTGAACAGTAGCCTTGTTTCATGAGTTGTCCCTTCCTTTTGTAAACAGGCTGTAATTGAACCACTTCTCAAGAAATCGAGCCAGTCAGTTCCAGTCAGGTTTTAAAAGTTTGCATAGCACTGAATCCGCACTTTTAAAGGTTTTTAATGACCTGTTTTTAGTGACTGACTCAGGTAGTTCTGCCATTTTAGTGCTTTTAGACCTGACTGCTGCTTTTGACACGATTGACCACACAATTATTTTAGACCGACTCCGAGACAGTGTGGGTGTCAGGGGGACTGCTTTAGACTGGTTCAGGTCATACCTCAGTGGGAGGTCTTTCTCCGTTAGGCTTGGTGACTCCACCTCATCCTCTGCCTTCCTGCGCTGTGGAGTTCCCCAGGGTTCAATTCTTGGCCCAGTTCTGTTTGCCCTTTATCTCCTCCCACTGAGTCAAATCTTTAAGAGGCACAGCATCTCATACCACTTTTATGCAGATGACTGTCAAATTTACTTGCCTCTTTCCAAGACAGCTAAAGGCCTCCTGACACCCTTGCTTGCCTGCCTGAGTGACGTCAAGGCTTGGTTGGCCCAAAATTTCCTCAGTCTTAATGAGGGGAAAACTGAAATTGTTATTTTTGGGCCCACTGACCCCTTAATTGACTTGGGCCCCTTTAAAGACAACGTTCTCCCCTCTGCCACCAACCTTGGCGTCACCATGGACAGTGATTTTAATTTTACTAAACAGATTAACACAGTCGTCAAGTCAGGCTTTTACCATCTTCGCCTTTTATCTAAAGTCAAACCGTTTTTATCTTTTAAACATTTTGAACAAGTCGTGCATGCTTTTATTTCGTCACGCCTGGACTACTGTAATGCTCTTTATACAGGCATTACCCAAAATGCACTCTCACGCTTACAGTTAGTCCAGAACTCTGCACGACTGCACGACTTATTACTGGAGCTAAAAAGCGTGACCATATTTCACCAATCCTCGCATCTTTGCACTGGCTTCCAGTCAAATTTAGAATTGATTTTAAGGTTTTGTTGTTTGTTTTTAAAGCGTTGAACGGACTGGCCCCTCAGTACGTCACAGACCTCATTGAAGTCTACACCCCAACGCGCGCTCTGAGGTCTGAGGGCCAGCTCCAGCTCGTGGTTCCTAAGACGAAACGTAAACCTCGAGGGGACAGAGCGTTCTCCGTCGTCGGCCCTAAGCTGTGGAACGCTCTGCCCCTCCACGTCCGAACAGCCACAACATTGGAGTGTTTTAAATCTCGTCTTAAAACCCACTTTTATTCTCTGGCTTTTAACACCGCGTGAGTTGTGTGGTCCCTGTGTCTTTTTAATTTTTTTTTTTAATTTTTTTTTTTTTTCTTTTTAGTGTTTTATGATTTTTATTGATTTTATAAATTGTTTATTTATTTATTTATTTTTTATTCTATTTTTTGTGTACTTTTTTTGTGCAGCACTTTGGAACTGTTCAGTTGTTTAAATGTGCTATAGAAATAAAGTGGATTGGATTGGATTGGATTGACAGGCGGATTGGTGCACGTGCGCAGTGATGCGGTCGCTGTATCGGACCGTTGTGGTAAAGAGGGAGCTGAGCCGAAAGGCAAAGCTCTCACTTTACCGGTCAATCTTTGTTCCCTCCCTCACCTATGTCTTAAGCTTTGGTTAATGACCGAAAGAATGAGATCGCGGATACAAGCGGTCGAAATGAGCTTCCTCCGCAGAGTGGCTGGGCGCTCGCTTAGAGATAGGGTGAGGAGCTCAATCACACGAGAGGAGCTCAGAGTAGAGCCGCTGCTTCTCCACGTCGAGAGGAACCAGTTGAGGTGGCTCGGGCATCTGTTCCGGATGCCTCCTGGACGCCTCCCTGGGGAGGTGTTACGGGCACGTCCCACCGGGAGGAGACCCCGGGGCAGACCCAGGGCACGTTGGAGAGACTATGTCTCTCAGCTGGCCTGGGAACGCCTTGGGGTCCCCCCCGGACGAGCTGGAGGAGGTGTGTGTGGATAGGGAAGTCTGGGCGTCTCTGCTTAGACTGCTGCCCCCGCGACCCGGCAACGGAGGAAGCGGAAGAAAATGGATGGATGAATGGAAGCACAACGTACAGCTCATTTAAAGTGGGCCTAGGTGCAGGTCGCGATTAGATTCGGGCTTTTGCTGCATCTGTGCTTGGGCACTGTTGGAAGTGGTGGACCTGAGTGCGGTTGTAAAGCCTGGATGAGGGGGGTCGATTTGGTGGGTGGTGGGGTGTGATGAGGTGTGGTGGGGACGTGATTGTTCGTCACATTACATCTTCCTGCTGCGCCCGCTGTGACGTGCATTTTCACACCCGCCTCTACTTGCAGTCGCGTATACTTTTGCATTCTTCGTTGTTTGTGTTACACCTTTCAGGCAGATATGTCGCTCCAGGGCCGAAGGAATGAGTTTCCTACGGGGGATAACTACCTCCTGGTTTGACCCTCGCTGTCACAGTGTGGTGCTATTCCAATAACACTCCAGACGCTCAAGAATCAGACTTTATTTATTATTTCACTTTTCATTCTTTAATTCTCATCATTAATTTCTCACGGCGTACTCCGGTGTCTGCTGCATGCCCACACACACACGTTACCCACTAAGCTGCTGCACATTGGAGAAAGACAACTCACACTGACTGCAAAGAACGTGATCCATGCTCAAGCTGGTTGGCGCACAGTAGCCTAGTGTAAACAGGAAGAGAAACGGAAACTTAACTTGCAAGTAGTCAGTGAAGTTAGTATTAGCGCCACCAGCTGGCCACCAGCGTTGTAACATATCTACATTTGGGCTGGTAGTAACAAAAATATACCCTTCTGACGACGAGCTGTCTTCACACCCATTTGGCGACGATCTGGGCCACTTGGTCTAGTTTGTTTGTGAAAACCTGTGACCGTGCCCTCAGGGTCTCAGAGGGTATAATTGACCAAGGGTTAAGCGTCAGTCATTACTAAACAGTACAATGAAAATCCAGTCGAAAAAAATATTTGGGTCAAATAAACTATATGCAATTAATTTAGATTAAATAATTACAAAGTCCCTAATTAATTATATTAGAGTCCCAGCCCTAATTAATTAATTGTTGTGCTCCTTTCTAAGCTCTATTAAATTATTCACCATAGCGATGACCACACCACAACAATGGAATGCAGTTGAAATACAGTATGCTTATTGATAGCAGCAGAATGATGTACTGTATGATGATGGGTGAGTCTCAGTATGGGGAACTTCAGCTGGCCGATCTGGGATGCTCCCTCCATGGAGAAAGATATAGTATAAAGCTTACTGGGTAATTGAGGAGTGTTGAGGAAGCAAAGTGTGGAAGGCTGGAGAGGAAGAGCAGGAGGTTCGAGGCCCTGCTCAGCTATTTTGTTTAAAGTTACTCCTCAGTCACCTTTGTAAAGTAAAGAAAAAATAACCTTAATTACACCATTTGTTCATTCACAGTATCAATAATTATATATTGAATTACAATCTGATTTAACCCTTGTATTATGTTGAAAAAAAATTACATTGATTATGTTGCGGGTCATTTTGACCCGTACTGTGTAAATGCACTCAAAACAGTCAAGAAAACAGGTTAAACCAATAAAAACGTTATATAAATATTTAGAAAAGTGACATACAATACATTTTTTATTCCAACGATATATTTAAGAAATATTTAGTCTAATCTTCTTGTCCTCCTCTCGGGTCAAAATGACAATTCTTCCCTCCCTCTTTCCTCCTGCCACGCTTTCTCCTTCCTTTTTCTCATCCTGTTTTCCTTCTCTCTGTTCATCCTCCTCTATTCCCTTCTTTTCTTTTCCTTCCTTTCTCCCTTCTTTCCTTCCTACCTTCCTTCCTTCCTCCCTTCCTCTTTACTTGGCCAAAGATTCGTCCTCTGAATCCTCCTTATCGTAGGAAAATTGACAATCTGGATCAGCAAGAACATTGTCCTGTATCTGAAAAATCCTCTGTTTTTGAAATCTCTTCCTCTACATTATTATCCCAGTTAAAAATCTGTGATAAAGCCTCCTCAGATGTCATCCTTCTGGAGCTCATTTTTGGTGAGTTTGTCTAGGGCCTAGCATTGCCTAACTAGTTGCAAGACGGCTTTTGGCAACTGAGAGTAGATGATGGAGATGATCAGTTGCCAAAATCGGTCGATGTGAGCGCTCTTACAACTGGAGATAAACAGTCGATCTCCGGATTCAGTCAGTTGCCCGTGTTCTACTTTTCGGCAACTAGTTGTCCTCAGATCCGGAGATATCACCCGATGTGCACGCTCCGTGGCGCGCTCCAACAACGTGTGTATTGCGTGTATTGCGCCCTCTACAGTTTATGCCAGAAAACACACTGTAGGTGAGGCCAGTTGCTGTCGATGTACGCGCTGTTATTCCCGAGACTGGTCTGC